ATTTCAGTAAGGGTTCTATAAATAATATTTATAATTATTATATAGCTTACTATCTATTGGACTCATCTATAATACTTATTTTCTGAAATAATTACTTAGCATAGTTCCTTTTTTCTGTTTTTCATCTGTGGTTAAAGAAAATGTCATATTGAAAAGGAATCTACCACTTAACAAGGACATGTTGAAAATATTTTGAATATTCCTAACGGATAGAAAAAATATGCTATCTCAATTCTACTTGTGGCCCAGTAGTGGCTCACATACAATACATTCCTACAACTGTGCTGCATAAAGAATGTGTTTTGGCATAGAAGCAGCATTTGGAGAGGTTTTGGAGAGGTTTTTGTTGATAATCTTAAACAAAAACAGTCAAAATAATTTCACTTCCACTGGAAACCCGGAGGGAAATGGTTTTTGCCAAATGAGAGAAAAGATGCCAGCTTTTGAATTAGGAAGTATTTTCAAGTGTTTATGTTGGGAAAATGGAAAAAGAAATTGACTTTAGTGATTTTTTGTCTACCAAACATTTAAAACCTTGGAAAAACTATTTCTAATAAGCATTTATAATAAATAATAGCTTGCATTTTATATAATTCATTATCATTTTCAAGCATTTTACTTACTTTATTGTATCCTTCCATAACATGTTTGTGAATTAGGTAGAACAGGGATTATAATTTACATTTTTTACAAACAAGAAAACTCAAGTTTAGGTTAAGTGTCTCTTGTGGGTCACACAGTGGGAGTGTTAGTGTCTGAACTATGACTTACATTCAAATGTTAATATTTTCTCGTACATAGTCTATAGAACTTTTCCCTACTATTGTTTGATATTCCTTAGGTATTGAGTTTAATGTTGGATTTTAAGAAGTGATATTTGATTTTCAGTGATTGAACCATTTTTATATTGGAGGAAGCTAGTTTTCCATTATTTAAACATTTTATATATATAATTGCATTTTAGGTTCTGGGGTACATGTAAAGAACATGCAGGATTGTTGCATAGGTACATACATGGCAATGTGGCTTGCTGCCTCCATCCCCATCACCTGTATCTGGATATGTTTGTGAATAGCTCCAAACATTTGCTTTCTCTGTTCTTACTCTGTCCCTGTTGGTTAGTTCACCTGCTTATTAACCCATCTCTGCTACATTGAAGAGTGAAGGAAATTAGTAAACTTGTAATTTGTTAACAGCTTTACTAGAAATGTTTAGTAATAAAGAGTGCATGGGACTTTAAAAATACAGTAATCTACTTGCCAAACATAATTGGAAATTGTCATAATTTGGAAAGAACTTTTCCTAGGGATAGGATTCAAAAGTAGGATATCTGAGACATATCTAATAGTAATCTGTTCAAGGGATATGCCTGACTATATAACATCCAAGTCTAAAGCTGGTGAGGCTTTTGGTTATTTATGTTCAAGGTCAGTGGTTCCAACTCCTAACTGATCAGTATCATTCAGGAAGCCTGTTAAAAACCCCAACCTCTGCAGATCCTGATGCAGTAAATTTAACATCTGTAATTTTTAAATCTCTCTAGGTGATTATAACGCTTGCCCGAGTTTGAAAACCATGGATCTATCACCTATTCGCAGCTTCCTCTGTGGGAAGGAGCATGTGGGACTTTTTTTCTGATTTTAATTTTTCCTTCTTTTAAAATATTTTCATTGTGTTGGCCTCTTCACCATCTGGATTGATTTTGATTTTTTTTTATAAAAATAGGCAAAAATACCTCGAGCCCTAAGGAACATAATGCTTGGCCCTTGATTCCATGTGAATTATATACATTTTGGGTTCTCCATGGCTAGCCTTTAAATCCCAGGAGTTTTTTTTTTTTTCCTTTCATATAAGCAGTTAACAAGATCATTCATTTATTTATGCATTCATTAAGCAAACATTGATGCTTGCTTATAATTAAGCTGATAAAACAGATACTATCAGCAGCACTAGGCAAATATAAATAAATATAAAATAAGATGTATCCTGATCTCTTACAAATATATTACAGTGTGTTATAAAATGTTGTAAATTATGGATGTGTACAATATAAGTAAATATATGAAGGAAATGTTTAGGTGGGTACTTTAGGAGCATGAAAGAGGAAGTAACCACTTCCTTAACAAATGAAGAAGACATAATGAAGGATTCAGCCTTTCATCTTGATCTTAAAAGATGATCTTAAGATTTTGTCAGAAGAGGACAGGTAGGCCATTAGAGCTTGCATGGAGGCATGAAGAAGCACAGCATATTCAGGAACTTTAGTTCAATCATTGTGGAATACAGTGTGATGATTCCTCAAGAATCTGGAACCAGAAATACCATTTGACCCAGCAGTCTCATTACTGGGTATATACCCCAGGGATTATAAATCATTCTACTATAAAGTCACATGCACATGTATGTTTATTGCAGCATTATTCACAATAAAGACTTGGAACCAATCCAAATGTCCTGATAGACTGGATAAAGAAAATGTGGCACTTATACATCATGGATTATTATGCAGCCATGAAAAAGGATGAGTTTATGTCCGTTTCAGGGACATGCATGAAGCTGGAAACCATCATTCTCAGCAAACTAACACAAGAACAGAAAACCAAACACTGCATGTTCTTACTCATAAGTGGGAGTTGAACAATAAGAACACGTGGACAAAGGGAGGGGAACATCACACACCAGGGCCTATTGGTGGGTTGGGGGCTATAGGAGGGACAGTATTAGGAGAAATACCTGATGTAGATGACAGGTTGATGGTTGCAGCAAACCACCATGGCACGTGTACCCATGTAACAAACCTGGACGTTCTGCACATGTATCCCAGAACTTAAAGTATAATTTTAAAAAAGAAGTTTAATATGGTTAGAGTATAAGAGAATATGGTAAAATTGGGATCCAAGATAAGCTGGAAATGTGTGTTGAAATCATATCAAGATCCTTCTTTGTTTGTGTGCCTTGTAATAGACTTTAAATTTTGTCTTTTTCCCAAAAAAATATTTGGGTACTCAAATAATGCGTTTTCATTTTCTTAATATGATTAAGCAGATACATCTGACATCCCAAAGGTCACATTAAAGCCAAGGGTAAGAGCTTTGTAATCAGTGTTTCTCCAGCCATTTCTTATCTTTCAGCATGTTTATTGAGCACTTGTGAACTACACACTGGATGACATAAAGGAAAAATACTAGCCTGGGCAACATAGTGAGATTTAACTTCCACACACACACAAAAAAAAAAAATACAAAAATTAGTTAGGCATGGTGGCATGTGCTTGTAGCCCTAGCTACTTGGGAGGCTGAAATGAGAGGATCACCTGAGTCTGGGAGTGCAAGGATGCAGTGAGCCATGATTGCATCACTGCACTCCAGCCTGGGCAACAGAGGGAGACCTTATCTAAAAAAAAAAAAAAAGCTGACTTCTTAAATGTTCAGTGTTCTCACAGAACTTTCAATCTAGTTTAGCAGATGAAATAAATACTTGAAAAGACCATAGTAAAAGATTACCACAAAGGAATTAATATTTACTGAGGAATCAATGAGTAGTATGAATTCAAAGGATGGAGAGAACTAAAGTTATTTATCTAAAAACGCTTTATGAATAGAGTAGGGGCATGACTTCAGTCTGAAGGACAGGTCAAATTGCAATAGGTAGAAAAGGAGAAAATTACTGTAAGTGGGAAAAATTGAGCAGTGGCTACAGGTATGGAAACAAGATTTAATGAAATGTGTTTGGGAGCAGCAAATTGATCACTTTTCTGGAGCTAGAGTTTCATGTAAGGGAGCACATCAGTGATTATGACAATAAATAAATATGGCTTCTAAATGAAATAAAACCTTCAAAAAACCTTGTTAGGAAATATACAGAATATTTCTGAATATACTTTTTATCCATCTTAAAGATCTCACACAAAACTCTAATTTCAGCTGAACTTTTAAAAATAAATATTTTGCATATATAAAAATATTTCGTGTCATTAAGATACTCTGAAATGCCAAGCCCATTGCCAGAGATTTTCCAGCTTAAACCCATGCTTTTTAGATATGTTGTAAAGAGCTTTAGATATCATTTTGTGTTTGCTTTAAACTTTTTTCAAAGAAAAAATAGAAAAGTATATTCATTGGCCCTGTGTGCTTCTTATACATTATTGTCAGATCTTCATCTGCTAGATGCCTGCGTTTTTAGTGGAGAGGTTATCTGTCATTTATAGCCAGTGAACTTCAAGAATAATTCTTTCTTGTCTTGAAACAAAAATGAAGCTATTTAGACATCAAAGATTAATATGAAAATATTTTCTGATAAACTTAGAACCATTTTTGTTTTATATCAGGTTTTCTAGGTAAATATTTCAACTTTAATTAGACTTTTCAAATGTCCATTATTTTCTTATTTTAAAAAGCAGTGCTGCATAAAAACTATTAATGGAAGCTTCAGAGAAGTAGTTACATGAAAGTAAAAACCTGAGGTAACTTGCTAATATTTTTGTATATTTTATTGCAATATTCTTGCATTTTTAAAGGTTTTTTTTTTACAAATTTTGTGTCCTATTATTTTAACATTAATACATGTACATTTCTTTATTTTTCTAAAGTGATGCATAAGTGTATTTTTTAATGGCTAATGTTGCATTGATATAAAGTAATTTAACCATTTCTCTGTTGGATATTTGGATTGTTTCCTAATTATATGTGTCTATTATATGTTTAAACTGGAGAGAGATGTGTTTGCACCAAAGGTAGGTTATATAATCTACTTATGCAATGTGCAAGTGGAAAATGGATGGCAGAAGGATTGTTCTTCTTTCCTTGTTTGTTTGTACCAGAACTCTTCATTGTTTACATACATTTTAGCCTTGGTACCATTTTCAGAAGCTTTATTTGTCTCACTTACTTCTTTGGTTTGGATAAGGCTTAAATATAAAATCCATCTGTGAAGCATATTGTATATTCACACTGAAGACTAAAAACCCTTTTTTAATTAAAACTTTATTCAGCACTCATGGTTCACTTTGTCCTGTTTTTATTATGAAACACTTCAGTCTTCTTCCTAAAAACACATATGTCTTGAACATTTCAAGATGTTTCTTGTTGCTCATGCAGAACTAGTTTCTTTATGCTGTCAGCTCACTGCCATATGTTCTGGCTGTTCATTTGCTTCCCTTTCTGGCATCTATGTAGGCAACATCTTGTATGTAATGTAAGTTAGTTTTATTCCCTTCTCCTTTATAAAACTTGTCAGAAGGTAAAATAACACACTGGAAACTGTGAATAATACTGTGGTAAGTTGGGGTTTTCATGATTCTAAAGGATGTAACCTTTCTTGTATTCTTAATGTTTATAAGGCATGAAGAGAAAATGTGTCCAGTGACACCTGAATTCTTGTCAGATGTGGATAATGACAGTTAAGGTGCCATAGATATTATTTGCTAACAACACACATTATAGAAATTGCAATTCTTTGTATTGATTATTAAACCAAATGTGAAGACGTGGGAAACCTTGAGAGAAAACATGAAAATCAGATCATCTTTTTTATTTTCAGGAATGCACCATAGGTTCTCATCAGAAAGTCTCTGCAGGATTGTTTGACTCACACAAGTCGTTTTTGAGATAAGTTGTGTTATACCTCAAGTTAGGTAAAGTCAAGAGATGAACTAACTGAAAAAGTAGTAATGTTTACATAGAATCTAAACTGGAAAAGGCAATAATATCGGCATTAGAAAGTTTGCTTTGCCTTTAAATCATTATTAGTCATAATAGGTTTTACATTCTTCATAATATAATGTCCTAAAGCAATAAAACCTCCTATGTGAGCTCTAAGTTCCTAACATCTAAATTTTCAAATAGTTCTGAGTTATACTTAATTTGTTCTTTATTGGCTAGAACACTTCCTGTTTTATCACGTCTATTTTGACCTTCTGAAACATACTGAATATATATTTTCCAGGTTTATTGAGGTATAGTGGACAAACAAAAATTGTATATGTAAGGTGCACAATGTGATGTTTTGGTATGTGAATACATTTGATGATTCTTCCCATTACGAAGATCACTTACTGTGTCAGCCAGCATTAAATGCAGGACTGTTGAGGTAGAGCAGAGCCATTTATGTCTGCAATGACTGACTCCATGCTAATATGTCCCAATTTTGTTTTGTTTTTAGAATTTATATTATGTGTTCACACTTCCTGCTTTTGATGTAGAGTGGGCTTGGGGACCAGGTTACCAATTTTTTATGATCGTATAAAACAAGAATGAAAATGTTCTGTGTCAGGACCTTTTGAGTATTTATGTTATATCATCAGTTTTGACTATTATAAGAATTTTTTGTTTGTCTCCCTGCTCCATTTAGCTCAATGAACTTGCTGCATTTAAAGAGTATGTTAGTGTAAATGTTAACGATCTATCTCCCCAAATCCACTTTAACATGTAAGGATAAAATTACATTGATTTAACGTTCTAATTTTATATACTTTTTAATATAAGAGAAACATAAAAACATTTAGACTACATTTAGATTTCTTTATGTGATGATTTACTATATCACATACCACTCACCCCTGATAGATTAAAATGCATATCTTTAACTATAGTATTATATAATTTATTATACAAAATTTATCATTGTACCAGTATAAACCTTACAGTACATTTTATTTAAGTTCAAGGTGTTTTCTTCCTGAAAAGGAAACTTTTCTTCAATCACAACACAAATAAAACAGTTAAAATAGAAAGCTTTGTAAATTCTATATAGCCATTTTTAAATGGCTAACAAATTATTGTTTCAGTAACACTTGACTTCAATAAATACATACTGAATTATATCCTATAGGTTAGTACAATGGATAAGTATTTTTGTCTCTCCTTGATCTAAGACATAACAATCCACACCAAGCAGACAAGTTTAGTAGGTCACATGTCTTGCATGAGGATGTTTGTTCATGCAAATAACATTTATTGAGCACTTATGTACTACTAGGGACAGTGGTAGGTGCCAAGGATAGGGGATACAGATTCATCTATCCCTGCTCTTGAGGAACTTAGAGTCTTAAAAAGAAAGACACAGATAGGTGAGTTACATTTCAACATGGAAAATACTATAATAGGTATAAACAAATTCAGCCATCACCTTTAGGGGCTGAGAAAATTTTTTAAAAAAGGAGAGAAATGAGGAGTGGCGGGTAGGGGAGAGACAAAAATGCTCCATCCTATTTCAAAGAATAAGAGAAATATATGTCCTCAACTCAATGTTGTGAATACTGGAGTTGCAGTCATGAAACATTTTTGAATGCTGTTACTATCCCATCTTGAAAAAACACAAAACATCCAGGCACAGATATTGTTGGATCAAAGGGAGAATTTGATTAATTCTGCTAGAGAAAGGAATGGTCCAGGGAACATATTACAGATGCTTGAGGTAAGCCTTAAAGGATGCATGCGATTTCAGTAGGCAGAGATGTGCAAAAGAATGATGTAGGCCAATGGAACAGCTAGAACAAAGATCAAGGAAGGCTTGGTAATCAGGATGACACTATCCTGCCACAATTAATTGTTATGCCTTACAGCACAGTAGCTGGTACAGTGTAATGTAGTAAGAACCATGGACTTGGCCAAATGAGCTTGGTTTGGGACCTGTCAGCACTATGCACCAACTGCATGAGTTGGTGGCAAGGTGCTGAATCATTCTGTGCCTCCATTTCTTTAACTGAGAAAGAGAAAATGACGCCTAATCCCAGGGCACCATGTTGCACAACTGTGGGAGGCATCAGTCACATGGTACAGAGGCCCTAGCTATCTCAGGTGGGCTGGGAGGATTAAATGAGGTGATACAAATAAAGTAATTAACAGAGGGGCTGGCATATAGAAAGCGTTCAATAAACATTCACTACTGTGAATCAGGCAACTATCATTTTTTTTTAAATTGATTCATTTGAAATCCCTTTTATTTGTAAAGGTTTATGTATCTCTATCCCTGGAAAACAATCTGTGTGTTCTGGAGATTAACTTGAGTAGAATGCAAGATATATTTTGCTTAATTTACTGGCTTCAAAATTTGTGTCCAGGAAATATACAAAGACAAAAACATACCAAAGAAAAACAAAACAACAAATTAAAATCCTTAAATCATTTCGAATGAACATTTTTCTCCAATGATGGTTAATGCTATCCATGCCATTGGATGGAATTCCCAAATAATATTTATTTTTATTAATAAAACACCCCTTCTGTGACCATCTGATGTTTCCATAGGGAAAATTTTCCAACACAATTTTATGTCCCTGAAATTTAAAGACGTTTATTTTTTCTTCCCCCGTATATCCAGAAGCAAGGCTATTTAGAATGGGTTAGTTGATTAGAACATCTGACTCAGAAAATGAGACAGCCATGAATTTGGCTGAGGATTTAGAAACATGGATAGGAGACAAAGATTATTTCCAGGCTTCAAATGTCAGCAAACACTTCAGGGTTGCAGGAGGGAGAAAATAAAGCACATAAAGTTTAATGGCTTTTGCTATAGGGGTCTTTGGGGCAGGTTGGGTGGAGTTATTTGCTGAACACATGATAGTCTTTTTGTTACTTGTCCAGCTGGATTGATTGAAGCCTGTTTCCACTCTATCTTGTAAAACAAAAAATAGCCATTAGCTACTCACCAGTATATATGGAAAATGCAGAATGTTGTGCTTCGGTTAGGGATCTGTCTTCAGCAATCTAGTCCACATAGCATGGGATTATAGCAAGTACTACAAATAGGCAAAGTCAAAGGAGCTTGCTTAGCCATTTAGACTCCTACCATGGACTCTTAAACTGGAGTTTTGATTGCAGGATGTTTTTTAGGGAGTGACCTTGGATCTGTACCAGTGGGAGGGAAGAATTTGTCAGAGGGGATAATTTTAGCTGCAATGCAGTCCTGATAACAGCCTTGGTCAAATCCACAGGAAGCTCTGGAACTAAAATGACCCACTGGAATAAACTCAGGCTGAAATGGCCATGTTTTTATACTTATTATTCATTGGATGAAGGGTGGAACCTCTGGCAACGTGGATCTGCAGCTAAAGAAATCCCTGATTATGCTGACAATTGAGGGCTGCTTCCCCACAGAACTGCCAGCAGCTGAGGCAACAGGCGTTTTCTTGAACGGGAATCTGGTGACACATCACCCTGTCTTTGCCTCCCCAAGTTCTATTATAACATATATGATCCAAACCAATTTTCAGAAACATGGCTGGACAAAGAGAGGCTTCACCCTCTCACTCTCCCAGTTTCTTCCACAAAATAAAGTCTCAAGTAGCTCACTGTTCAAAAAATGACTTATACCACTGGGCATCACCACGATTCCCAACACAAAACTATAGATCTAATACTAGGCCTATGAATAGTTAGTGTTTTTCCCAAGCAGTAATTATAAGGTAGATGTACACTCCCTAATCTCTTCATTAAGCTCTAGATTCGCAGATATAAAAACTATTTGGCGATGCCAGTGGGATATCCCATGAGTACCTGCAAGTCAATGTGCTAAAATCTGAACTCATCATTTCTTCTTCTCACAAGACCAAACCTGCTTTCCACATCTCAATGCATTAGAATACCTACTCTTTCGATCCAAAGCCTGGGAATTATTCTTAATTCTCTCCATCCCCCCAGAGCCAGTAAGTCCTGTAGATTTAACTTCACCAATGCCTTTTAGCAGCCTTCTTCACTGCTGCTGTCCTAATCCAGGCCCTCATTCAAAGGAGGTTATCTTTTTGTAATTGTACTAACTTTTAAAAGTTAAAATAATATATTGTTGCAAATAGTGTAGTACAGCTTATGATATTCTCTCTTCTTATTCCTACCTGCAGTTACCCATGGATGACCTTCTGTGAATGGTCTGCCTAGGTGTTTTGGTGGGTTCCTCCACAACTCTAGGTATTATGCATATAAAATACTTTTTATCCCAACTTCACAAGCCAAGACCAATCTCTACTCTGAAAGATGAAAATTTAACATTGACTACTTTTCTTCTCTTCTCCCAGTGTTTAATATTTATGTTATTATTAATTTTATTAATTACACTTGTAATTTTCAGTGATAGACTTAAACCTCTATTTCTTGCTCCATCTACTTTCAACAATCTGTTGACTACTTTGTAAGAAGACAGATATTAACATGTGTATCTTTGCCCTCTCAGTCCCATCTTTTGTCAACTACGTGTTTATGTTGTCAAAGTTGTAACATTTACATTCTGTTCTCTAGCCAAATTAATCTTCCAGGCTCTTCCTACCACAATTTTTTGGTTCTACAATGAACATTTTCCTGTGTTTACTTTAGTATGATATTAATATACCAATCCTTTTTTAAACAGTGGTAAACGTACATAGCATATTTATAATTTTAACCATTTGTGAGTGTATAATTGAGTGACATTAAATTCCTTCATAATGCTGTATACCGATCACTATTATCTATACCCAAACTTTTTCATCATCCTCAATGTAAACTCTGTGCCCACTCGGCAATTTCTCCCCCTTGTCCCCTCTTCCTTTGCCTTCTATTCTACTTTCTTTCTCTCTGAATTTGCCTATTCTGGGGACCTCATGTAAGTGAATCATTCAATATTTGTAAAAAACTTTTATTTGAGGTGCAAGGATACATGTGCAGGTTTGTTACACAGTTAAAATGGTGTCACGGATGTTTGTTATACGGATTATTCTATCATGCGGGTACTAAGTCTAATACCTAATCGTTATTTTTTTCTGATCCTCTCCCCCTTCCCACTCTCCACTCTCAAGTAGGCCCCAGTGTCTGTCGTTCCCCTCTTTGTGTCCATGAGATCTCATCATTTAGCTTTCCTTTTCTATGGCTGGAGTATTCTATGTGTATGTATAATATTTTGTTTATCTCTTTATATATTGATGGATTTTTCCTTTCTTTTTTCCAGTGATACTAAAACCACCTCAAAAACTGCCATTCCTTAGCAATCTCTGACTCTGTCATTTATTCTCTTTCTGTTGCTGGAATGATCTTTCTAAAGATAAGATGCTCTCTGGATATATTAGTTGCCCTTACTCTCCCTGACTCTGTCCCATTCTTGGCTATGCCATGGCACCCAACTTGCAGTGGCATCCAGTGTCCTTAGGCTCACCACTGCCTCTTCTCCAATCTCATCTCTGTTACACTCTCACATGCCAGGTGCTTCAGCCACACAAGGTACCTCACTCTACCTTAAAGATGTCATGGCCTTTTACCTGCTTGTTTTGCTTTGTGCTGTTTCTTCTGTCTAGAATATAATTATTTTTTTTCTATACACAGAAACCTCTACAATCCAAGTAGAGTTAAATGTCTAAATCTAAGTTAAACATCATTTTCCATGAAGCCTTCCCCAGTTCCACCAGGTACTTTGTTGCTCCTTTCTCTTTTTTTCCAAAGTATTTTGTTCCTTCCTAGAATTTCAGTGCTTAATTGTTCTGCAATAATTTGCTGACTTGCCTGCCTAGTTTATTCGACTGACCTCGGCTTAGACTACAGCTGTTTTCGTATTTATGTCATGAGCCTGGAAGCTAGTAGCATTCATGAAGAACGCTGCATAAGTGAATAGCACAATGGGGATAGGGCTGAATGTGGAGTCAGAAATTTGGGCTTAAGGACCAATTTAGCCACATCACCTCACCTCTCTGGGTTTGTTTCTTCATTTGGAATGATTTATCATCCTAGACTGGTGTTGAGAACTAAATGAGACAGTTAATGCGGGAGTCCTCTTTATAAAGTAATTGTGAGGACTTAAAAAAAATCAGTCTTATTAGTCTTCATATACTTCTCACCCCAGATAAATTTACTGTTCTATAGGGAGTTCCCAGTTTGTGAATCATTCCTTTAAGAAGGAATCATAAATAGTGGAAATGTAATTTGGGAATTCATGACTTGAGTTATTTTCATATTGTTTGGTTTGTTTGTGTAAGTGTTAGAAATTTCAGGCATGCAGAATTTATCAAGAAAAAGGAAGAACTTTTCTAATTGGCAGTGTGGTCCAGCAGTGTGTGCTCTCAGGAGGTTGTCATTGCTCCATCTTTGGACCACCCTGCCAATTAGTAAGTTCCAATAGAGGACTAGCTAAGCTTACCTGTCAGGGAGACTGTTCAGGGAAATTCTGATCTGAACAGGGAAGAGAGCTGCACTAGCTGACTCTGAGGCTCCTTCTCATTCTGAATGTATATAATCCTAAAATTTACATACAAACTGTACTGAGATAGACCAATGTTTTTCTATTCAGGAGATAAAGGTATAAAGATTGGGTTGTGTTTTTTTTTTTTTTTTTTTTTTTTTTTTTGGGATTTACTGAATATTTGTATATTTTTTTTAAGACCACATAAAAAGTTTGACATTTCTACTTTGTGAGTCTGGCTAATGCTGAAATTTGATTTTGAAATATGAAAGTAAACTGTAACTACCTTAATTTAAGTCTGTAGGATTTATGTTTATATATAACCTTTAAAGTTCTCCANTTTTTTTTTTTTTTTTTTTTCCTCTTTAACTGAAGAGTTGTAGATTTTATGTAAGACCACATAAAAAGTCTGACATTTCTACTTTGTGAGTCTGGCTAAAGCTGAAATTTGATTTTGAAATATGAAAGTAAACTGTAACTACCTTAATTTAAGTCTGTAGGATTTATGTTTATATATAACCTTTAAAGTTCTCCAAAATTTTCACCCTGGAGAAAAGAAGAAATTACAACAATTTTACTTGAGGCTACAAGTCTAGAGAGACACTAGATCTAGGTTAATGGAAAACTGACACTGCTTTGCCTGGGCTTCAGGCAGTTTCTATCCCCTCTGACTGATGTGAACTCTCACACCCAAGGACATGGTCACCAGTCTCACATATTAAATTTGAGTGTTTTTGTAGTTGAAGCTCAATAACAAAAACACTTTAGAAAACATTTTGTTCATGATATTTTTAAGAGTGCTATTGTTTTTAAAACACAGTTTTTTCATAGTTCAGAGCTGCTTCTTAATGTTGCTATTGCTCACAGTAAACCCATTTCAATTCTCTGAAAACCACTTTGCAGTGTTTTCCTATTTGTACTGTTGCCTCTCAAGCTGACATATGACTTTCCCTGTACACCCTCCACTACCACCAAACAACCCACGCACTTCCTGCCCCAAGGAGACAAATGTGGAATCAAATCAGAAGCACACAATGTCAACATGAGAAGCTTCCTTAGATTTCATCTAATCTAATTCAAGCCTTTGCACCTCCCCTCTTTTAAGGAAGAAGCAACTGAGGAATGGCTAAGGAGCGTCAGAAAGCAAGTAATGACAAAAGTAAGATGGGACACAAATCCTTTACCCCCTCATCTAGTACTTTTACCACTGTCCCATGCACCAAGTGGACGTGGGTTGGGGCAGGGGGGCCCTGAAAGGTTCCAAAGAGGTGGTTACAGCTCTCAATGTGCTGACTGACAACTGATCCAATGGACAGGCAGTTTCCTTTTAAGTGACTTGGTGGAAGGCCTGACATCATCTTGCAATTGAATGGGGGGCTAGGAACCCTGCTGAAATATACATACATACATATACATATGTATGTGTGTGTGTGTGTATGTGTATGTGTGTGTGTGTATATATATGTGTGTGTATGTATATATATGTGTGTGTGTGTGTGTGTGTGTATATATATATGTGTGTGTGTATATATATACATATATATGTATCCAGGTGACATATGTACACATTGGCAGGTAGAGATGGAGAGATAAACCTGAGAACAAGGCCCTGCTGGAACAGGAGAGCATGGTATAGATGAGAGTTTTGGAAAAGGGCCACAGGAGCATTAGAGTCAATGAGGCTGAGAGTCCACATTAGAAACTGGAACAACGGAGACACGAATGGTGAATGCTACCCTCTGAGATTCCTCTAATACATTTAGGACATTTTGAATGTGGAGGGGGTTACTGGAACTTGGAATCAAAAAAGGCTGCTTTGATTTTTAATTTTCAGAGGCTGTCCTGGAGCTCACATTTGGGTGTTGGCTGGCCTGTCTGAAAAGGAAATGATACTTGCCTACCTACCTCTAAGAGTGGTAGGAATTTAATGAGACCTTACCCCTGGCAGGGCTTTGTAACTCCAAAATCTGTACAGATTGTACAGATATTGCTTATTTTTCTTTCTCTTGATTGTGGCTAAAAACTAAGGAATCAAGAGCCAAAATATGATGGAGTAAATCTAACATGCATTCATTCACTCCTTCATTGGACATTTATAAAAAGCTTACTAAATGTCTTAAAACAATGCAACCCCTGGATGAACACCACGCCTACTTTCAAAGAGCACCAGTCTATGGTAAAGACGAGGTGAAAATAATTATAATAGTTGCAAGAAACTTGCTCTGGTAGAAGCATAGGGGCCTGTGGAGGTTCAGAGGAAGGACACAAAACTAACTTGCGTGAGTGGAGGAGACATCATGAAAAGTTATTAGGAAATGATTCCTGAGGTGAGTAGGAGATGGGCAATAGCAGTAAAAGGTCAGGGGTAGGTGGTCCTGGCAAAGGGAGCCACATGAACAATGGCATGGGATAGGGGAAGTAGGGCTGAATGAGAGGACCTTAGAAACCACTTCAAATAGTGTGACAGATACATTAATGAAGATGTAAGTGTGTATGTGACTTGTCTGCCCTCAGTAGACCTGCCCAGGGGCTTGGTGATAATATAGATCTCAAAAGGCCTTTTTTCCTCCAGCCCCTCTTGTGTCATCCTGGCTTTCATCTGGAAGGGCCTGGATAATTGTTGCTGACTCCTTGCGCGGCCTTAAGCAAGTCCCATCCCTTCTGGAAGGCTCCAGTGTCTCTTTCTGTGAAACTGGGGATCTGATTAGCTGGTCAGTGAGGTCCCTTCAAGCACTGACCCTGGCCTGTGAGCTTCCTGCATTGCAGTGATTCACTGATTGCCTCTGACTCTTCCCCACACTCTGGGAATGGAACCTAGTTCTCCTGACTTTCAGCTTAGGGCTCTTTTCTTTCCACCACATTGCCTGTGCTACTGCATCATAAGAGTTAATGGAGACACATCCTTGTCCTCAGAGAACTGAGTCTAGCTGAGAGGTAGGAAGGCACCAAAGCTTGAAATACCATGGTACCCCTAGTGCCTGGAACAGAGCGTGCTCCATGACATTATTTATAATGTTTAGTGGCAAAATGAGAGAAATCTTTATTATAAAACCTCAAAACTGGAGATAACCTCAGAGATCTCTTTGGGCCGTTCCCTCTGCCCAAAAGACTTCCCTTTAGCACCCA